TTGAATACTGAATAAATAAATAAAAATTTTCTGGACATTAGATTTATTTTTTTTATTAACCCCACAGTAAAGCAATTGTTTTACTGAATAATAGATTAATAGAACATGTGAAGTTTGATTAATAACTCCAAAAAAATAAAACTATCATTATAAGACTTGGTATGTTGCTCTCACATGCTGTCAGACTGTTTGCCACTTAATTTCAACTAATTGTACGGCAAGTTTGTTGCAGCTAATCTTTATTGTAATCAAACTCAAAGCATGTAACTCTCGATTAATTCATGTTTCTGCTCTAGCATGCCTCTGCTCTGGAATAAGATCTCTTGCAAATACCAGTTAGGTCCCAAATGTATCATGAGGCAGGACAGAAGGACCCAGTATTTAAGGCGAGGCAGACAGTGGGATAATTCAAAGCATTTATTCGAAATAAAGATCGGGCTGTGGATAGCAGTGGCTGCGGCTAGGACATCTATGACTGGAAGCTCTGAAAAAAAACACAGATTAGTGGCCATGATAATCTGATGGAGCATGATTATCCATTTAAGTCACTAACCTGGTTTAACAGTTCAGTCCATCTCCATAAAACGTGGTAGGATCCAGCCGGTGGGCTGCCAATGAGATGCGGCGAGCGGTGATCAGAGTGTCCTAGATGCTGCAGCCCCAGAGAACATGCAGGAGTCCGAGCTAGGTCAGGGAAACAGATCAGAACAAGAAGAATCAGAGGTCCAGGAGTCTGGAGACAGTACAGGCAGAACGTTCAGGCGGGAACATGCAGGCTCAGTGACCGTGAGGCAGAACAGGTCAGGAAATCAGGATCACTACGAAATGCAAAAACACTCTCTCTCCACTGAGCCAAGACAGGAACACGGAACGCTCATTGGAAAATAGGCAGATCAGGATCAGGAAATCAGAAACACTATGAAAGGCTAAAACCACTGTCTCCACCGGACCCCAGGAATGAGCACTAAAATAGGGTGACCAAACGTCCGTATTTCCCGGGACATATCCGTATTTCACGTCCTGTCCCGGGCGTCCCGGGTTTTTTTTAGAAAGTGAGGAAATTATTTTTTAAATTACCTTAATTGCACCATTAAATTTACAGGCACTAGGGCACTGCGCACAACGCTGCGTGTGACGTTATCCCTGAGCCGCCTGAGTGCGGGCAGCCCTGCTCTTAATCAGAGGCTCTGTTCGAAAACCTGGGCTGCATCCTCCAAGGACGCGGTCTACCTTGACTGGATCCTTCGAAGTCCTTGAAACCGGGAGCAGGAACAAATAAAATCAAATGTAATGATAGAAACCTTAGTTAGTTAAATAACATGCTGCTGTCATTTTGCACATCTCTGATGTTGCTCCTACTTTCAAATATCCATCACTGTAAAAATGTCCATAGCTGCATATTGGTTATGTATTCTCCAGTTTTATATTGTTGAAACACTTTACAGAACAAAATATATCTGCAAAATCTCTAATATTCAACAACAAAAAAAACTTAGTTAAGCATATTGTGCAAAACAGCAATAAAAAAATTTAACTCCTATCAGATTTTTAGTCCCCACCCTGCAGATATATTAGAATCTGCCAAACCCATTTACACAGTAACAGATTAAAACCTTTAGATAAACCAAACATTACCGCCACATATCTGACTCTATAACCATTAAAACAACTATTTTCATTCATTTCAGAATGAACTATTCACAGATTTGTATTATATTAAACTGAACTTCCAATTTTCACCACTGTTCGGCGCCAAGTAACATTTCCTCTGATCACGGAGCAAATCCCGATGATAAGACATTATTTCTTTCATTGTGCTATTTATTCATTACAGGAATTGTTAAGCATTTTTAATAAATACATCTCGAATAAAATTATTGTTTGTTATTAGAGTTATTGCTGTTGACTTTTACTGAAAAGCATTTTTAATAAATCAACTGTAAATATAATGTTATTGTAGGATTACGTAGGCCTATGTTAAGTGAGTGCATGCCACAGACATCTCTATGCATGGGAACAGAGATTATCCCCCCCGCGCTCTCCAAGGTGTCCTAGTTTTACCCAATTGAAAATATGGTCACCCTACACTAAAACAAAAGCATGAGCAGCAGTAATCTGGCCACACTGGCTGCTACTGAGACATATAAATAGAAGCAGCAGCAGGTGTATTAGATGAGCACTAATTAACAACCGGGAAGACTTAGACAGGTGAATCTAGTGAGCATTAGGCCAGCAGTCAGTGCTAAGATCATGACAACTTAGGAATGAACAGCAGCACCCTGTACTGGATGGTGACATGACTGTCACACTGAAATAAATTCCTTTTAATGTCATCATTTAATTGGATGGAACAAATTTGAATCTATTAAACTATTATTAAACAGTTAATCATAAGTCAGTTATTTGTTTACATCCCTATATCATATGAATTAATATCTTAAACCTGCATCAAGTTAGCTGTATCCTAATTGACTTTAAACTCTGATATGTCTTCTGTTTGACAGATAAACGTCATTATTGAGAGCTAAAAAGGCTTGCAGTTTGAAACTTAAAGTTCCAACCAGAGATTCCAGCAAAAGTACTTACTTTCCGTACTTGAGTAAAAGTACAGATATTTGTGTTAAAAAATACTCTGGTAAAATTGGAAGTACTGATTAAACTTCTTTACTCAAGTAAAAGTAACAAAGTACTTTAAATGGATGTCTGCCAATAGGACTAGATCTCCGTTGTGTTCATTTTCAATCATCTCGTCGTCCATACTACTATGCTAACGCCACCGCCACCAAGCTGCAATGATTTGCCACGAATCTGTCGATTCATCTTGTAGTGGTGCGTCAAATGCAACGTAGATTCCCATCCAATTAGATTGAATTTGGTATTGATGACGTGAAAAATAATCACGGTAACTCCATTGAAATTATTCAAAACTAAAGTAACGAGCCAATTTTTTAAAATGTAAGGAGTAGAAAGTACAAATATTTGTGTAAAAATGTAAGGAGTAGAAGTAAAAAGTCGCCATAAAAATAAGTAGTAAAGTAAAGTAAAAATATCAGAAAAATCTACTTGAGTACAGTAACGAAGTATTTGTACTTCGTTACTTCCCATCTCTGGTACCAACCCACTTTCTTTCCTTGTTTAATGGCACCCTGCAAAAATTTTCTTTTTTGATGATGGCTACATTTTTAATATGTTACAAAAATCACAGGTGATACAGTTTTTGGTAGCGTTGCTACCAGTAATTTCTCCAACCTCCTTTTACTAGATTGACAACATTCGGCAGCAATCTCCTAAAGGATTGTGTCTAAAAATATTCCAACCTGAAAGCCTGTTCAATGCTGATTAACTAACAAAGCAGACGCAAGAATTGTGTGTCTAAAATATGCGAAACAGCAGGTGAAAGATTATGCATTTTTGCCTTCATGAATATATTGAACATATGCGGATCATCAGAATCAACGGAACGTGTAAAGTAGTGACTGGAGGATGCCAACTTGTATTATGATCTACCAATGCTTTTTATCAAACATAGTTTGGGTGCAGCTTGTTTGCTATGTATATTATACATGTTTAACAGTCAGGTACAAAATGACTTGGAAAAATGTTTTCAATCACTGCGGCAAACATTGGGCTAGAGTCTGTGTGCATGTGACTAAATTTTTACCATCAGAAATAACAATAATGCTGGTAATATATTAATATTATTTTCACATACAGACATCTGTGGTAGTGACAATCCAGCACGTTCCGCTAGTCTACTGAGCAGCAGCTATCTTATCAGACACTAATGGCAGCGTCACAACACGTCACGTGATAATGATATCACATGACTAGATCATAAACTGAGATTAAATGTGGATCTCTCGATCCAACAATTCTCAAATAAATACCTTTTTTTATATTAAAGAGGACTTTCAGAATAAATTTAAAAAAATAAAATAAATATTTAAGAAAACACAATTTCACCAACTCGAATTTCAATAACAAAAAATAAACTGCTTAAGGAAAATTAATACTTGATATAATTAGGATTAATTCAATTGAATGGAAGAAATTATCCTGGTTACACAAGCATTAGGTAAGAAAAACAGCATCTGCACACATTTCTAAACTACCTAAAACCCTCACAGTTGACTTCGACAGAGTACCTTTATGTTTCTTTTGCAAAATGTTCAAAGGTTTTTTTTCCGACAACAAACAAAAAAAGAAAAACCTAACAGTTTGATTACAGATATGCAATGAATTGCATCTTATTCTTGTTATGCGTAAGAGGTCATGCCAAGTTGCTATTCTCTGCTGCAGTTCTCTAACAAGGAACTTTAAAGATATTTTAACCTTCAATTTGTCATCCAGCTCAGTGAACACTGTGGTAAGATCAACCTGCATCACCATTCATCCAGGTGACTGAAAGAAATGGGCCTTTATTTTGTATTTATACCCTATGGACCCTAAAGTTGTGAATCGATAAAAAATACATTTTTAGAAATTCAGATCAAATTAGAAAACAGTAAAAATTCTTAAAAATCTATTATCTATGTTATTTAAATTGTTAGAGGTACTAATAATTTTGTTTATAAATGTAGAGATGTACTGAAAAGTTAATAGTTAGTGTTGCTTTATCGCTATTGCAGATAAAGATCCATCTGTTTGATTTTGACACATCCTATCATGAGTGCCAGTGGGTGCGGCTGGAGCTTGATGGAGAGGCAGGATAGAGAGAAACGTGGTTGAAAATATAAATGAAAATGGCACACTTACGCAACTCTTTTCTTTTTCCATCATAATGGAGGATAAAACAGAAGGCATGTGCCATCCTTATCTCACTATAATCCTCTTAAGGAGGGTCACATTAGAAAGTCCCGGTGTGGCAGTGTTTCATCAGTTCTTGGAGAAGTTGCTAATATTAGAGGTGTTGTAGCACTGAAAAAAGATCTGCTGCCTCTCATATTAAAGCGTTTCTTTTCAGCTAAAAGGAGAAATGTGGCTTGCTCTTTTGTTTGCAGGTGGAATGGCTTAAAAACGAAGAGCCTCTGAATGTTGGTGATGATGGCTTGATTAGTAAAAATGGTGACCATGATCTAATCATCTCAGAGGCCCGCCTCTCTGACTCTGGGAACTACACATGTGTTGCCAGCAACATCGTCGCCAAGAGACGTAGTGCCACAGCTATGGTTATAGTCTACGGTAAGATATGTATGTAAAGTCAAACTAAATCAGGTATAAATCTTCTATACAAAATGCTTCTGTCTAATTGCCCTAAAAACTAAATAGAAACCACTTAAAAAAATCCTTTTGCACTCTTGAATCTTGAGAGCAGGTTACAGCGGCTGATCAGTTGTGTTTAACAAGCTGACATAGTCACAATATTTACAAGAGCCCTGTTATTAATGATTGAAAAGCAGCTTCCGTGGGGTCAGTGACACTCTACAGCTTATTTGTGCCTGCAATAAATACTGTGTTCAAAACGTTTTGTATAGCTGCAGGCAAGCAAACAATGTTTTCCAGCATTTAATGGGCCTATACAGAGTAAAATTATAATGTCCTACTGGCATCACACAATTTTGACTAAAGCAAAGCATTCATTAGTGGTTTCATGCCTGTTGTACTGACCTTCCGTCTTGTACTCTTATTTATTCGTAAAGGACCTTAAGCTGTAGCTGGAATATATCAAATTCTTTCTCACCAAGGGTTGATGTAGATCATCAATTATTAATTTCCATAATGCTAATGAAGGGCTCTGATGGGCTTACTCTTGCCAATAGCCTTAGACAGATGTATAGTAATGGAACAATAGTATTGCTTCCTTCCCTGTGACAGCAAATGAGCAGATTAGACAAACAGCCTGAGTAGTGTTAGAAAACCCATGACTCAGCCTCCTATTTCACTTTTACATAAGATAGAAAACGTCTTGTTAACTGCGATTTTGTTTTAATCTTTGCTTCCCTCAGTGAATGGAGGCTGGTCTTCATGGAGCGACTGGTCCGACTGTAGCGTACGCTGTGGGCGGGGCGTGCAGAAACGGTCACGAACCTGCACAAATCCAGCTCCTCTAAACGGCGGTGCCTTCTGCGAGGGCATGTCAGCGCAGAAGAGCACGTGCAACACAGTGTGTCCAGGTAAGAGTATTATGTTAGCTATTATGCTTCTTAGGGTCTACATGTGAAAGAGCTGCTAATATCATTCATGAAAAGAGCTGCAATTTAAATTATTAAATCCCAGATGAGCTACAATATTAAAATCCTTGGTAGGGAAGCTGAGTTAGTCAGTTCATCTTTCTGCAGCTCAATATTCTGCTTGGAATCTTTTGGACTCTTCCATCATGCAGCTGCTACCTCGACAAAAAAAAACACACCTAGACTTTGTTGCTGAGCAACCTCCAAAGTGGATCAGGCAACACAGCAAAAAAATCCAAAGACTGTAAATCTCAAAACTCTCTAGATCCCTATGCGATCAGCTATCTGTGTGACTCAGTGGAACAAGAATAATCCATAGAAACCACGCCCTGCAGCCCATGGTAAAATCAGAAGATCAAATGTTCACTGGTATCAGTGTAGAAACTAGGCTTATGGGTTCTGGCAAAAACAGAAGGCTTTGGTCAAATGAAAGAACTTGTTAGTTTGCTTTTAAAAAAACTTCAGTTTCAACCATTTTTTTTATTTTCAACTTTGACATTTGCCTGGAGTTATTTATTCCCATGCACAACTGAGTCAAGCCAAAGTATTTTGCTTGAGAGCAGAAAAAACAAGACATTTCTCAAATTTATGAGGTGGTCAACACAAACAGAATGTTTTTTAAAAAGGTGGACAGAAGAATATCTCACATAAACCAATAGCTATCAGAGTTTCTTACATTTTAGGAGTTAAAAAGAAAGGTCTTAGAAGACAATATTAAATGAATAAGTGAATGATGCTTTTCCTTTATTCTCCAAACATTTTAATTATCATATATATTAAATATATAAAGCTTATGAGACTTTCGGGTAAAAGGGAATCAACTATTACTATGAACTGCCTGTTTATATTGGAATGTATAGCTGTTTTTTCCGGTCTGGCTTTTTACCTGATCACACCGCCTAAATCAATATCTGAATTAATAACAATGGTACCAATGAGCATGACTGGCCTAAGCCCCATAGAATTTCTATGGAGTCAAGAAGAAAATCTGAGACACTAGTGCAAAAAATAGTGATGTTGCTTGCTGCCTAGGCAAGGCTGAGTTGAAATCTACCTTTTATTTTAGGTCTCTGTTATGTTTTTACCTTTTCCAATCTGGCTTTCAAAAGCAGCACCCCACTGAGACAGCTATATTGAAGGTTTCAAATAATCTTCTAATGACTTCTGTTCCAGCAAATTCCTCCATAATAATCTAACTTGATTTTAGCGAAAACTTTGACATTTTAACATTTTAGTAAATAGGCTGACAGCTTTTGTCTCTGTCTCTGGTTTTGTTTAACAGTTTTCTGATGTATCTGAGGAGGACTTTTTAAATTATAGTGAACGCGTTCACCTTTTAGATAGTCTCAAACCTGCTGGGTTCCACAGGGGTCACTTCTGGGTACAATATTAATTGCTTTTCATGTGCTCCCTTGAGCTGGTACTATTATTTCCCACCCCTTTCATGTAGGTTATATTCACATGCATACAGTATGTCTTTTAGGCCTCATCGGCTGAACAGGCTCCCCAATGCAGTCTAGTCTCTATCTACACTACCGGCCACTTTATTAGGTACAACTGCTCGTTGATCGTTGCTAATTTCCACCCCTTTATGACCACATTGTACCCATCTTCCGATGGCTACTTCCAGCAGGATAATAAACCATGTCATAAAGCGCAAATCCCGTCAGCATGAGCATGCAATGAGTCCTCTGCACTCAAATACCTCCACAGTCCCCAGATCTCAATTCAATTGAGCACCTTTGGTATGTGTTGGAACAGGAGATTTTCATCATGGATGTGCAGTTGACAAATGTCAGGCATTTGCCTGATGCTAGTATACAATAGAATACAATACAATGCAATACAATACAATATAATACAATTCAATACAATAGAAAAAACCTTTATTGTCCCACAATTGGGGAAATTGCGTTGTTTACAGCAGCAAAAGATTATAGCAACACACGAATTTAGACCTTAGAAACATTTTATAAAAATAACAGAATAAGTGACAGAGTTGAGAAAATAAACAAATAAAATACTGTACTGTGCAGTGTTTTTACAATATAAATACTGTGCATCTGGAGAATAGATAATCAATATACAGTTGTGGACATTTTGGTAATGGATATGTGGAAAAATAACAACTACACCAGAGATGTCCAAAAAAAAAAAATGAAATCACAGCAGCATGTTATTTAACTGATTAAGGTGGAAACTGCAAAAATCAACATGAATGTAACAACTTATTGAGGTTGTTGGGAACAGTGGTGGTTCTAGAGTCTTACAGCTGCTGGGAGGAAGGATCTGTGATAAGGCTTCCTGATGCATTTAGGGTGCAGCAGTCTGTTGCTGAAGGAGCTCTCCAGTTCTGCAACAGCTTCATGCATTGGGTGGGAGACATTATCCAACAGAGATGTTAATTTAGTTAGGATCCTTTTGTTTCACACTTCCTTCACTGAGTCCAGAGGGCATCCAACCACAGAGCTGGCCTTCCTGTTGAGCTAGTCCAGCCACTTTCACAGCTCCAGATAAGGCTCCAACAGACAGCTCCATAGAAGACAACTGATGCCACACAGTCATAGAAGGTCTTTAGGAGCGCCCCCTGCACTCCAAAAGACCTCTGTTTCGTCAACAGGAAGAGTCTGCTCTGACCCTTCTTGTGGAGAGTGTTATAGTTGTTAGTCCAGTGCAGTTTATTGTTCAGGTGAACACCCAGGCACTTATAAGAGTCCGCTATCTCTATGTCCATTCCCTGGATGCTCATCGGTGTCATGTCAATATACAACAAACTCTCTAAGAATTGTTTTCAGTACCTTGTTTAATATCTGCCATGAAGGCATTCTGAAGGCAAAAAGGAGTCCAGTGTAGTGCTAGAAAGGTGTACCTGATATAGTGGCCAGTGAGTGTAAGATTAGGGATTAACTTTCAAGGACCAATACTAGGACCAGAGTTGGACCTTCTTCTGAACTATGTGCAAAATAAATGCCAGACTCCTTTTTTCCCTTTGACTAATACATCCAGCTTGCACAGTCTTGGTGTAATATTCTCTCCTCTAGGCTTTGACTAACATGTTAAATCTCTGCCATGTTCCTGTTTCTTAAATTTAGGGAACATTTAAGGAATATCTCACAAGTATCTATGACATAAGGTCTCTTCAACAGATCTTGAAAGAATTATCAATGCATTTGTGCCATTTAGATTATTGCATTGCTTGTTTACTGATTAGGATAAATCATCTCTTTGCACCTCCAACCATCTGCTTACACCTTCCAGCATACAAGCTACGTAACTCCAATTTGATATGCTTTATGCTGGCTACCTTTAGAAATTAAGACTCATTCAAAATCTTCTCACTTTAGCATACAGGATGCTACACAGCCAGGCCTCAGATTACTGATTAACGATAAGTCTCTTAATAAGTTGCCATTTTTGTCTTCATTCCAAGGCTCTGAAACTTCGTCCATGCAGCATTGGTTGAACCATGGGGAGGTAGAGCCTTTTATTCCACAGCATCAAGGCAGTGGAATACTGTAACCCGAAAATCATTTACTGTAGATGAGTTTTTTATTGTGTGTTTTATGGTTTGTTGTCTATTTTCATTGTTACTTTCTTTAGTATATTCCATTATAAAATGTTCATCAATGAAAGGCTTTGAACAAATTAACTTTACTTAAAATTAAGGGGAGGATGGTGATAAGAAAGCCACATGGACTTCCCTAACACCTTTAAACTGGTTGAATAGTTCCATGTCATGGTGCATTGATTTAATAATTTGACCCAAAAGAGCCTCAAGCAACTATTAAGTTCAGATGTCCTAATTATAGTCAATTGATTAGAATATGCATTCCAAAAAGGCTCTTTTATAATTACCTCTAGATTAGGGCTATCTTTAAGTAGGGCGCATCTTAGTAGTTTTTTTATGTGCGGAACAACAAAAGCTTATTTTGTTAAAGCAATAAAACTGAGGAGTTTCATTTCACAATGTTTTTACACGTGTCATAAAAACAGTGTTTGTGTTTTTTTCCATGCCATAACAAGGAAAATCTGTTTACACCTAGGGCATGCTGAGACTTAATACTCTCTGATATGTAATATGAAAGCCCAAACATGATTGGCTGTGAACCTTTGCTTTTTACCAAACACATAGACATATGGTTAAAAAAAAAGATGATAGAAATTATATTATTAGATCTATTCCCTTACTGCCACGGTTTGGCTGTCCAACAGTTCACAATTTCAGCACGTCTATAAAGTCAAGATATTTTGAGTTCTGGAAGTAAACGAAAAAGTGTTTTCTTTCAGCATATTATGGCAGTTTATCTTTGGAAGGTTCCCTCACTTCACTTTAACTGCCTTGACTTAATGAGTGGCATCGGCTTGTGATAAAATCAGAACGACTGTTAAAGCAAACAAATCTGGAAAATATAGAGAGAATAGCCACAAGAATAGGAAAACAACCCAATGCAACCTTATTTGAGAAAACTGGCAAGACATCATCTAGTTTTCACAACTAATGTTTGATCAGCTTTGCTGAAGGGTTTTTTAATAAAACCCAAATGTACGATTTCAACCACTGTAAAGTTTGAAGAAAACATCTATCACATTCTATAAAACTAGCTGGCAGAGAATGCAGCTCTCTCACTCTTGGGAGGGATTCTTTCTTATGTCTTGAGACATAAAATGGTTCATGAGATCAGCAGGAGGAAGGGAGCTTAAAGAACATTTGGAGGCGGAAAGAAGATTTGATTAGATATGGCACAAACAGGGTCTCTGTGCTCCAAGTCGAGAAGCCTGAAAAAGTATTTTGACAGACTGTGGAAGAAGCTGTTGTAAGTAGTGCGGTGGTAATTTAAAAGTGTTTCCCTTAAAGATTCAAAACACTTGAAATGAATCAACGTGGAGAAGAAGCCGTGCTCATGTGGGAAAAACACCTTTATTGGTGTTTACGTTTTGTGTGTGTGTTGTATTTGTGTTTCGTTGTCTTTGTCAGTTCTTTATGTTAATGCAAACCTTTTTTTTTCTCTTTGTGTTTTATCTTAGTCGATGGAGGGTGGGGGGAGTGGAGCGAGTGGTCTGTGTGTAGCTCAGACTGCGATAGGCACCGCAGCAGAGAGTGCACGGCTCCTGAACCCAAGCATGGAGGACGGCTCTGTGATGGGTTCCCTTTGGCTGCGGAAAACTGCACAGGCGGCCTCTGTACACAGAGTGGGTAACATCATCTGTTTAAAAAGTAATAAAAGACAGTTCAGGATCATTACTGTCTCTAGCATGACGCTTAAAGACTGTGTCATTATACATTTAATGTTTATCATTTTTGGCAGAGCAGGCGAGATCATGATCATCATTACAATCATGCTCATTACCAACACCTTCATCCATCTTCATTATTCATCCTCTTGACTCTGCATACATCAAGTGCCTTGTGTTTAGGCAGGGATGCATGTACAAGTCGTGACTGTATGAACCAGCAATTTTAAAACAATTACAGACTCTAAGATTTGTTTGTCTACCTGCAGATCGAAAGTTGCTTCATGATGCAAAGCCACAGGGTGAGTTGTTCTGATATTTATCTGAACGTCCAAAAAATGTTTTTGCTTTTTACTTTAACTCCACTGATGAAAAAAATATTGTGTTTTGTGGGTGTTTTTTCTGTCTCAATATTAACGTATTATTGTCTGAATTTATTTACAATGCTATAAACAAATTATGTCTTTTGGTTTTTACCTTCTTTTATGTGTGTCATGTCTGATGCATGTCTAACACAAAGTACAGTAGTAGCCATTCAAATTGTCCTTTCTTCCCTTGATGGCCCCTTGGCTGGACCTTGGCCAGTCCTCTACAATTCCTATTTAAACATCAACCCTTTAACAAAAACATTCTGTCATCATTTGTGTTCATTAAGATCTAAAGAGAAGCATCATCTCTTGGTCAGACCCTGTAATTAAGTGAAAGGGAGGAGTCAGGGTAACAAAATATGCAAAAGGGGATCACTCCAGTGGCTGGAAGGAAGGGGATTTTCCTGTGAGTTGCAGGGAAGTGGGCTGCCATTCAGCTGGCATTTGACTGGGAAGGGCCGTTTTGAATAGCTGCTACTGTATATATTATAAATATCGATTGGCCAACTTTTGGGCTGTTTTAAGAGCAGAGGAAGTTTAGAGTGAATTTACAGAAAGCGGTTTGAACACGAGTTTCCATCACAACTGAGTCTGTTTTTGTTAAATCCACAACAGATCTATAAATGTACACTTTATTTATAAAGAAGCAGTGCAACCTTCACTGTGTAATATAAATGTTTACTTCTCTATATTTGTTCTGTAGTAGATTCACAAAGCAACCTGCATTATAGATATCAGTCTTATCCTGCCCATCAAACAAAGCAGATGACAATATTTTGCAAACCAATGGTGTCAGGTTGCAGCTTTTCAGGCGACCAGCCCAACAAATGCAACGTGATCAAAGACTCTTTTAATGGTGATGTAATTAACAGAGAACCTCAAGGTCTTAAACTGACAAGATATTCTATTCTCTAAAAATCAGGAGTTTCTAAATCAATATGAGAATGGAAAAAGTGCATCTCTGGAACTTATTGATTCAAAGATAAAAGCAATGTGTTTATGTGCATACACACACTAATGGAGGATAACATTACCCATTTATATGTGTGAAAGATCCAATATGATACAGACTGCATGGAGTGCAAATACATTGCTGATTGATTTCAGTTTATTTTTAACAAATGAAAACGATGGGGTTGATAGATCTTTCATCATCATTCCTTCTTGGAGTTCATCCTTCAGAGGAACATACTTATTTTTTCATTATTTTACTTCTTTTATTTAATGTTACAACCAAATTCTTATGTAGGAAGCTACTGTATAAACAAACTGTAGCTTGAAAAGGAAAAAGTAGTTGCTTAAAAGTTCATTTTCAAGAACTGTATACCTTTAACTTCATTTTTTATGACAATTTCCACTTTTTAGTGCAGTTTCAGTAGTCCTTTGTCTATTTTCCTAAGGTATCTGCAGGCAATATACTGTATGATGTGTGCTTTGAAACCACAAGTTTGTTAAAAATATCTCTGCTACATACTAAGATGGAGATATTTTTACTCTGTTGTAGATTATGTTTGTTCCAAATGCAAAACCTCATAATGGTTTTCGTTTTTTTCACAATTCTTTTAAGCAGCAATCTGCTAATAAAGAATGTAATTCGACAGACTCAAACTTGGGTCTCTGCTATACTGCTTCTTGATCCAACTCTGCCTTTTCAGATGGCTAAATAAGGCTTTTGGGGGTTATATGTAATAAGACTTAATCCAATTTCCTCTGTTGTCATCTTTAGTAGCCCTTAATCCTACATTTCAGAGGGGTAAGATGTCCTAGTTGTTTCTGCTCTATAGTGAAAGGACGAAGCGGATGGATTTCTTGCCTTTTCTTTAAGTTAGAATCTCAGAGTTGAAGGGGTAGAAGCTGAGCTTGTGAACCCATTTAACAGTGTTTTAAATTTTTCATCACTTTGGTTGATATCCAGTAACCACGGCAAGGTCCTGTAATTAGCTTTGTCAAATTTGATATCTGACATCACTGTTCAAAAGAGTTATTAGATAGAAAAAATGTGAAAAACTAATTTCACAGCCCTTATTACAGTCTGTCATGTTGGTTTGTAGATTTTTGACCCACATGCAGAATCACATGGAGAACCAGTGGATTTTAACATTTTATTTACAAAAGCAAAAGGAAACTGGAGGCAGAGAATTGCAGGAAGTCAGTGGAAGTTTCTGGTTGGTCTGAGGGGAGAAAACAGTCTGATTAGGAAGGAGTTGGTTGATGACAACAGATGACTGATTGATTTTCTCACTTGAGAGATGAAGGGGAGGTAGCGTGGATCTGTAGGGGTTTGTTGCAGCCAAGGATCATTGCTAAAAGCAGAGAAGCAATTTCAGCACAGTTTTTGGATTTTAATGGTGTCAAAGTGGTAGGGAATCATACAGTATGTTCTATAATATTGGGGAATATTGGTTATCAGCCATATAAAGGATATCAATATAAGGTATTGAAATCAGCCCAGATTGTCATATCAAGGTATCCTTATTTAAAAGTGTTCTCTTATTTGAGAAGAATGACCATAATTGGAAATAAAAATAGAGAAGAGTTGATTATTATGTCAACCAAGAGCTACTTACCCCTTATGATACTTAGTGTTCATATAAAGGTGGAAAAAAAAAGAAAAAACTTGAACAGCTTATGTCAAATAAACATAATGTTTCTTTATAATGTTAGATTAGATTATATTATTTTGATATGGAACCCCAGATAACTAGCTAACTTGTTCTACTGGCTAAGTGAATGCACATCTGGTTATATATCAAGATAAAGAAACAGTAGGAAGATCTGTTAACCATATATTGATGCAAATACAAGAAATACAGGTTATATCTAAAAAGAATAAAAATAAAAATACTGAATGAATTTCTTGTAGTACTCTGCAGCCTCAGCCTCCTTAGTTGATCTTAAAACAAAAATCAAACAATTAGGGTGGTGGGATGAACATAAGCAGATTCCAAGCCCTACCTTAGGTTTTAAGTTGAAGAAAATGTATTTAAAATATGCTAATCAGAAAAGTACCTGACAGTAGAACCTTTGCTTTGTAAAAAGATGAGCCATTGACATTCTGTTGTGGAGCCCCTACATGCTGCTTCTTTATCACAAAGCAGCAGAGAATTAAGCAGGTTGCTGTTCAAAGCTTGTCGAATCAATATGTAGTTCCCCTCTAATATATCTCTTAATTTAACTTCATCTGATGTAGAATCACACGGGTCACACCTGTGTGTGGATATCCATTGGAACGTTGCTGCTTCATGCCTAATTGCTGTTTAGGGAAATTAGAAATTTGCTGCAATGTCATTTTGATCCATACGAAGCCAGAAGCTCATGTTCTCCTTACTCGTCCTTTAACAACGATCAGTATTTCCATTTGTCACCCATGGTAAGAAAAATGCATTCAGGCCTCCATAACTTTCCTGAGCCCTCAATTAACCTGCCACTACAGCTGCTAATACCGCTTTGCATATTTTGTCAATTTTCTTCCCTTTGAGCTTCAGGCTGCTTAGTGGATTTTTCAGCATGTCCTGATTTTAGCACAGATCTCATTATCTTTCAAGAACAAACTAGCAGCTTCTGTTTTCCTCTCATTCTTTTTCTTTGCGGAGTTGGACGCCGCAATACTGGTGGGAGCAGATAGAGCCTAATCGTCGCCGATGAGCTAATTTAATGAATTGGTTTTGTCACATTATCCCAGTGGAAAGCAGAGAGCCTCCAACACCAGAGCCAAGCGGTGTTTGAAATGACAGTCAGGTGTTGGGTTGATTATAATCACTTTTCTTCTGAGGTTCCTCATTAGTAGTCTTAACTCTGCAGAAAGGAACAATACAATTGTGTACCGGGAGGCAGAGCAATTAATGGAAAACAAAAAGGCCCTCATGTACTTTGAAACTGGGGTAGATTTTCCTCCAACCAACTTCCACTAGCTCAATATTCTTTAGCAGCTCCGATTCTTAGATTCTCAGGAAATAATCTGTTCCTTCTTACCTAATTTAACATCTTGGTCATGCTGTGACGGAGAGTCTAACATTCTGCTTCCAATTCTCCAAGGAGTGGAAAGAACCAGTGACGTAGCCCTGTACTCAGGCTTGGCTGCAGGGGTGGTGACCGTGGTGCTGCTGATCATCGCCGTCACTCTGTATCGGCGGAGCCAAAGTGACTATGGGGTGGATGTCATTGACTCCTCTGCCCTCACTGGGGGCTTCCAGTCTTTCAGCTTCAAGACGTCTCGTCAAGGTGAGCCAGTCACACACGAATAGGTCAGTCGCTCAACATGCACCTCCAGACTTCCACTGTCACTGTCATTTTCTATCAGGTTTACATCTAACCAACTAATTCAAGCTTCCTTCCTAGGAACACCACACAGAGTGTGTTAGGTACTAGTTTAAAAAGGCTAATTTACATTAAATTAAGCTTTAAACAAATGTTTAGACTCAACACCTTAATCAAAGACTTGACTTGGATGTAAAATTATTTATCCACAAACAACTTTTTTATACATATATATAGAAAACATGGAAGTACTCCCAGGAGGGACAATCCCTTTGAAATGACCCAAAGAACCATTTATTCAAATTATAAGTCAAAACCACTTTCAAATCTCCAGTTTAATCGCTAATTCAACCATAGGAAAAAGAAAATCATGAGTTATATCATGTTTTAGCGATAACTCTGCTGTGCCTGATTTAAAGCAGAGAGGGCCAAAATTCCACAACATTAAATTTAAAGAATTGATGTCAATTTTTGGCACCAATGATAAAACACCAGTTACTTTTTTAATTAAAATGGATTTACTTTTTCAGTATGACCAGGTTGTTTTGGATAGCTGCCTAGCCTGTATAAAAGAAGCCATCATTTGTAAATTCTTTCCATATTTGCTTAGACTATCTTTGTCTGATGTTAAATATTATTTGAAGTACTCAGACATTTACACATGCGTGACAAAACTACAAAAACATCTGAAATTTAAAAAGGCTGCAAATAATTTTTGACAGCTCTCTGCTTAAACATGTAGGGATTGAATCAAAGGCAAATGCAGTTTGTGTTCTAACTGGTACACGACTGTACGGAAATCAAAAGAGAAGAAAAGTTACAGGAAAAAGGGAAAAAAAAGGCTGTGAATGATAAAAATGTCTGCTTGATTATCTCAGTCACAGACAAGCCTTGACAAATTTTAGTATGAGATCCCCTAAGAATAAACTCATGCATCTATCTATTTTTAGCTTGTTTTAGATTTAAAGGTAAGGTAGTATAAACAACAACCCCTGCAATTAAATCCATTTCTACCCTACAATTTAGTATAAAACTACTGCATTCTGAATGTCATTCAGTGTTTGGCTGCATAGACACTATAAGAAAAGCCACTTTCTTTTAAATATCAAAAGAACACAAAAGTTAAGAGAGAAAAATGTCACTCTTTTAGAGTGGCTTTGTCGCCAAATAAACACAAAACCCAGACACCACACAGCAGCGCTAGCTTTTTACTTTCTCAAAGGTTAACCGTGGAGCAGAAATTACTTTTGCAAAGGATAAAGGACTTTCTCCTTTTAACTTTGTTATTTGTTTTAATTCTAAAGCCATAAAAGTGCTCAAATATTGATGCTAATGTATTTGAAAGAAATCAACGACCAGGCAATCCATACAGTGTATGCACTCATGAATTATGCATTTATTTCTGGTGTTATTACATAACTAATATGCATCAATTATTAAAATGCTTTAGGAGCCAGAATGAGAATGACAATTTTTTATTTTTCAGTTTGTTTACTACAGGCCTCTGGAGGTTGTTAATGTGTGAGCAGTTTGAGTTCAAATTACGAGCCTAAAACTTTATCTATAAAACATGCAGGGTGTTAGAATCTTACAGGAAACAGCAGCCAAGCCTAACCAATAAAACCTTCTCGAAAACAAATGGTAAAATACATGAAGATATCTATGTAATTTCACTCTTATCTATTATTACTTAGATATTTGTTCTCCTTCCACCGGGTATATTAATCGACATGGTAAATAAAGGGCTTATCTTTAGACCACAGTTCTTTATTCAAATTTATTATCCAATGTTTAACAATATCTTAATCAATAATTCATCGGCAAAGAATTAGAAATGCGATATATAAGCGTTTTCCAATTCTTTTTGCTGAGTTAAGCTGGTCCTACTGCGCTTTGTGTTTCACCATACAGATTGACACGTTTCTTTCTTTTTCTTTTTTTTTTTGCTAGGCAGAAGCCCTCAGGTAGGCTTAATAAAGTTTGTTTTGATAGCACAGCAGGTGGAAGCAAAGGCTCTAATCTTGGTCTCTGCTTCCTGTGTTAGAACCTGCAAAATTTTCTGCATGTGCTCACCTCCTATATTAGTCAATTATATACTGTTAAAGTAAAGTGATTTTGTAAGGTTATGTCAATCCTTTAATCTCTTACAGGAGAAATTTTGCTTTTTATTTTGTGTATGATACAAATATGAAATAAGAAAAGAAGCAAAACAAACCATCTTACCCTACAGGAAGTAGATCAACAAGCAAAGGTTTTCTGCCCTGTGCTTTTAGAACAGTGTAAGGCAAGGCAAGGCAAATTTATTTGTATAGCACAATTCAGTACAAAGACAATGCAAAGTGCTTTACATGATTAAAATATAGAAAAATAAAACAGAATCAAAGCAAGAAAGAATAAAATAAGAAAATAAATAAATAAAATAATAATAAAAAATGCAGACTCCAACAATGACGTCTTTACCAACTTCTATCAACCCTGTTGACTTTATAGGTCCCGGACCTATTTATTTCAAACACGATGGCAATATGTAGTTGTATACCATGCGAAAACATTGCTTGAAAAATTTTTCTCACCCGATAGTTTTTTAAAGGTATAGAGGAAGAATTTTGCACATTTTTGAAAAGACCTGCCCTCTACACATAAAAAAAAATGCACATGCACAACCCTGTACCCACTCCCAAGAAGGAACGCCTATTAAATAGGTGCGAGAGCATGGACCAGCCCATTTCTCCTCTTTTTTAAAAGTTGCTGTTTGCATCACTCATACAAGATTACTTTCCAATTTTTCCACTCTGTCAGACTCACCAAAGGTAAGTGAAAATGAGAACTAGCACATAGGGCTGCCTTATGTAAACGTATCACCAGAATGATTGGCAATTAGGAGGGCCACTTATTGTGATGATCCACCCAGAAAAAGAACGTCCTCCACTATATTTTTAAGTTTTCGACGGCGATTGTTTGTTCAAATTCTCTGTTGATTAAATGAGACACATCAACACATCAAAGTACATAACTGCAATGTTTAGAGAAAACAATGCATTAGTTTTGATTGGACAAAGATTCTTAGCTCTGTTGAGACTAAATTAAAAGTAAATAATAATAAAAAAAAAATTCTCTGTGTCAAAGGAAACTACTGCTGGAAGAGATGCTGCAGCACAGCGTCTTCACCCTCTGTGCTACACACCTTAACTAATGCAAATAATATACAACTCATGGACTATCCATGTGTATCACTTTTGTTGTGATGTCATAGGTGAAGTATTCAATATGTACATATTTTATTTTTATAAATATAAGTTAAACTCACATTTTCTGTTCTGTCTGGGAGAGCTTTGTGCAGCTACAGTAAGATGCTTCCACTGTATGACAGTGGTTCTCTTTGGAAGTTAGGAATCATGATGAACAACAGACATTTCAAATGTAAATCTATTCCTCATATTTGAAAAGGATATTAAAAACCTTTTTTCTTTCATTTTAGATATGCACTACCTTGAGTTGATCTTTCACATGAAATCCCTCAGAAATGTCTAAAAATTTAAACATGGCGAAACTGTCTGGGGGAAGTCAGTGCCTTTTTCTGTGGTGGTATCGTTTCCTTTATCCCCTGATATTTTTACAATTTAAACGGGAATATGTATGTTTATGCACCTATTTTGAAAGTTGATTATCAGATAACACCCCCTGCTGCTCTTGTTTGCCACAGCTAAGCAAGACATTATATTTTTAAATATATGCTATCTTTGTTTCCATGGTGAGGAAAGAATAGTCATATCCACAAAATGGGGAAAAAAATACTTTTTTGTTTCTTTTTAGAGGCCTTTTCAGGTTTTTCCTGTTAGCAATAGCAAAAGAATTGTCTAAAGTGTCAGCTACAGGGATTTAGCTGCTGTCGATAATTTTCTTTCTGTCTGTTTTGTCCTTTTCAGCAAACCCCCTGCTCATTAATTCCTCCATGCAGCCTGATCTGACAGTGTCCCGTACATATACCAGCCCCATATGTTTCCAGGACTCTATTGACAAGGAGTTAATGGCAGAGCACTCACTCCTCGACCCGCTGCCTGATCTTAAAGCAAAAGGTTAGGAAATAGCAATATTTTCACCCATAATGCCTTTGTCAAGTGCTGCTGGACTACAGTAGGAAGAGAAGCAGAGAACTGAGCAGTTGTTTAACAAAATATTCACCTTTCTTCGGTTGCCTTGTTATGGAGCAAAGCAACCTTTGCTCCATAACAAAGAAACCTTTGGTCAATAATAAGCTGATCGTCTTCCAGTCCATGTAACCCCTGTGTTAGTATTAATATGCTTTTAATGCACTTCTCTCTTGCCAAGGAAATAAACTTTATTTGCTGATGCATGTTCACTAAAATCCAGAATTACAGTGCTTTATTTTTAATACATTAATTTAGACAAGATGTAAGACCAGATTCTTGGTCATACTTTGTATTCCCTGCGCGTGATCTTCCATGTTGAACAAATGTTACTAAATTTTCTTTTTGCTAAATTCAAAAAGGAGAGAGTAAGTTTTAATCGGGGAATTATTTAAATATTTGAAGAGATGGCAGTGTGCTCCTCTCAGGTAATGCCATCTCTAAACACGAAGCTGTCTGAGTACAGGCTGTTCTCATTTGTGGTTCCCTGTTGGTGGAAGAAGCTGCCAAATTTTATCAGAGCAAAGAGCTTTTTCTCTCTCTCTCTCTGCCTTCAAGAATCAATTGCAGACTGTTTTTCAATACCTATACTCACTCCTTTAACACACTGGCACTCCTATCTCAAAACTTTTTCTTGCTTTGTATTTTAAATAGATGTATCTTAATTGCACATAAAAGATGTTCATCACACCATTTTTTTTTAAAGTTCAAAATTCTTAGATATCTTTAGAATAAAGTCTTACAGTCTTACCTTTCAGATATATGGATATTATTTGGACCTGTATTAACAAACCCTCCTCTTAGAGGGCTTCTAATTTAGGCTAAAAACTCCTGCAAAAGAAATTTAGCTTAAGAGCAAGGAGGGGAAAGAAGCTTTTATCTTATCAGGAAGGTGTAGTTAACCAATTACTAAGTTTGAGGCGGTCTTTAAACAGCCGTGATTGGTTGTTTAAAAAAATCAACTCAATTCCTAGTAATCAACAATGAGAAACTACTCTATTATAGGATTTGAAGTGGATCAGGAAATATGTGTCATGACAACAGTGATGAAAATGTATCAACATTGTCAGAAACAAGACATCTGCCAATGTCTTTCGGCCGACAAACCAGCACAATTAACCTGCCCTACACCATCGTGATTGACCATTAGTTTGATGGGTTGGTGGCTATAAGTGTTTATTTGTAAACTTAGGTTTTACTGCTGACTAGGGCTAAATGATTTTGCCAAAAATTTCTTTTTTTCTTCTTTTCCACCAATATGGAGATTGTGATTTTCCTGATATTTTACTTCAGGGTTTCATTGGCTGTGTCCGAACGCCCACCCTAACCCCTAAATCTCTCGATCACTATACAGAGCGGAGACTATATAGTGGACTTTATAGTGATCTCAGTTAACTTACCGTTCAGAGAGATGATCACTGCTTTTCGCTCCTCGTTGGTCACGTGACTTCGCCTCCCCGCACGGTGGCCTAGCCATCTTCGTTATTGGGCCACACTGACAGCGAATCCCATAGCTTTGCGAGGAGAAATCTCCTTGCAAAGCATTCCGCTCATATATCTGCTCATCTAGTGACTATGGATGATCGCTACTTTTCAAGGTGCTTTTCAAGTCCACTTCTTTTTCTTCCACTAGACTTTCAAACTCTCATTTAAAATCGAGTAACCACTATATAGTGTCCTATATAGTGGTTAGGGTGGACATTTTGACACAGCAATTGTTTTCATGAACTTTAAAGCTTACTCACCCAGAGTTCATTGGCATAGGATTTAACTGTTATACTCTTTTTGGAGAAGTACATAATTCTTATCCCATTTTATTTGTTCAACTAGCCTACTGCATATTGATTAACATTTACAAACAAATTGTACACAAATTGAAAATGCGTTAGATTGTAGCAAAACTGCTACCTTACATCCATTGTTCCGAGATGGACACAACACATAAAACAAATACAAATATTATGAACATAATATATAACTGCAGTGAAAAATGTGAACAGGACAGTGCAGTTATTTTAAACATTGCTCCTCTGCGTGGAATCTTAACATCTACTCTATAGGAGGCCATGGTGCTGAGACCGCTCAGCGATTTAGACCATATACATATTTAGAAAGTGGGGACTGGGCCAGATCTGAAGGATTTTGTATTTAAAGCAGTAATTTGTTAAAATAATGAAGTATTAAGCATTTAGCATTTTGTATTTTGACATTCAGTGACATGCATGATTCTGTTTCTCTCCTCCCTTCTGAGTGATCAGGAACCCACATTAAGAGTGTTACCACGACATAAAGGGCTGGAGTAAAGGAGTCAGTGTCTTAATGTATGAATGTAAAGTGATCTAAGTAGGAGGGATTGCTGCAAAGTCAAAAAGTCAATTAAGCTATTTCATTCTATAGTCATAACAAATGAATTTGACTGGATTTCAATTTAACTGTGATCAAAATGTAAACTACATGTAGTGATATTTTAATCTGTTTGTATAAAATAGATAATTTCATTACATTTTATTTGTTTAAATGAATCTCTTTGTCATGGAATTTTTTCTGAAATAATATTTGATATAAGTTGCTTCTTTAAACCAATGCAAAAGGAACTGCTGATGTCTTTCTTGCTTGGCAGAGTGTTGAAACACATCTGTATGCTTCAGACCAGCAGACCGCCAAGAGGTCTGCTTTTCAAGGGTAGACTCAGCTGCTGATGTGTTAATCAAGTGCTTTCAGGAGTAGCGTGTGCCTTGTCCTTTCCCTTTTAAATCCTATGAACCCAACAAAGCTTGAATTAGCTTTTGACAGATTATTTAATCTGGCTTAATTATTATTTTCTGTAGATTTGACACAAATTTAAAAATTGTTAAGATCTAATAATAACCAGGTGTATTTTGTCATAATATTAAAGCGCATAGAATTCAACTAGGGGATTCTTTCTAGTTCCCATAGTTGTTGAAAATAAAACAAAATACAGTACAACTGTTTTCTTATCAGTCTACCTTTTGATTATTGATCTTTTCTGCAGAGACAATTGGGCAGCTTGAACAGTTTGACTCCACTCTATCTTTGTCGTGTATGGGGCGTTACTCTTTTGACGTTAGTGTAAAACAAGTGGACATAAATTGCACTCCATGACAGCAAAGGGAAATAATGACTGAACAAGAAAACATGCACTAGCAATACTAAGAGCTCACATACAGAATGCGTTTCACAGGAAACCGATATTAAAATACGTGACTTGCAATTTATTTCTCAAGTACCTGCAAATCCATGACCTGCAGCTCAGCTTCAAACCTTTAGAAGTATGAGCGAGTCCAGGTTGAGAGACCTCCACAGCACAGATAGAAATGCTTGGCTGGTCACAAGTAATATACCACCAAAAATAACTTGAGTCACATATCAGCTTCATAAACCTTGGGTTTCACTGTCAGACCATTCCTCTGTGTCTTAAGCTTTCCGAGGCGGACATTAAAGGCTGTTGTTTACATGGGCAATTTAACCGCTCGCACTTCATGTCTGTACTGGAAGCTTTATGTGCTGCTGTCAGTGATGGAGGATTTAATCACAAATGAAAAGTAGAATTTTTCAACTTTATAGTTTGAAGGAAAATACAATAAAACTTCAGCATTGAAAAATAAGGAGATGGTACTGGAACAACTGGTGAACTCCACTGCGGATGTAAAAAAAAATAAAAATACGGTGGTAGTAATTATCCACTGAGTTTGCAGTTATTATTCATCATTATCCTAAATTATTATCATTCCTATACTAACAATATAAATTATATTTGTTCTTCTTATCTTTTTTAATAAACCAAAACATTTTTAACAATTTCGCATCTCACAAATTAAACTTTTTTACTCTAAAAGTGTAGCCTATATCTATAAAGTACCACCTTAATGACAAAATAAATAAATAATAAATAAAATAAATTGAAGTCTTTGAAGGATAAAAACATTAAGGATTATTGAATGACTTTAGCAAGAACTTCAAATGTCATTGTTTCATATGTTAAAATTTTATTTGTTAAAAACTGACATGGACATTAACCTTATTTACACAAATAAATGTGTTTCAAATTAAATGTAATAATTGTAGTAACTGAAAATTAGGAAAGCATTGTGGACAGAAAAATCCAACGAAATTACTTACAGTATAATAAAGGATTTCATTTTCTTTTAAATCACTGAAAACATATAAACATCCCCTAATTAGCTGGAAGGCAGATGTTATGTCTGCATGTTTCTTAGGATACAGCAGAGCAGACAAAGCCAGCTAAGAATCAGACAGGCATACAGATGTAGTGCTGGTTACCCTGCAGGGAAGTGACTTACTCTACACAAAGCTCTTAGGAAGACAACTGTCATAGCTTTTGTTGAGACTAACAAAAAGATGAAATAATAACATTTTTGCATTGACTAGAGTTATTGATGTCTTAAACTTCGATGTCGACCTCATTGATGACTGCAAAGAAACACTCAAGCCATACTCGAGAGAAAATTTTAAAATGAGAGTAAAAACAAACCAGACATGGATGCTTGATGAGCTGATTGTACTTTAGCACCATTGTATATCAGAAAACCACAAACGGCCTATATTCTACAACTGCCTTGTATTCCTGTGGTTTTTGTGGCACCTGCAACAACAATGGATGAGAAACTTGAGCAGCTGCCACAGCCTTGTTCTTACCTTGCACCTTATGTCAGCACAAAAAACATGAAAGCATGTATGAAATTGGATGCATTTCAAAAAATATCAAATCCTGTCACAGTTAGAAACCATAGAGCCAAATTAGTTTAAAATGATTTTGTCATGTAATAAGTGAAATCATATATGAAATCTCTCATTTGATCTCCAACCTTGTGTGTAAAAAAAAAAAAAAAACGTGAGGCGGAAAATATACTGCAAAGTCAGTTGGTTGAATAACTGTTACCACCTTTTACATGGAATCTACAGTATAAGAGGTAACATTCCTACTTCTTTAGATGCAAAGTGTTCTTCCTTTAGCCTTGGGCTTATTGTTTCAGCTGGAGGCAAAATCCTTGGCAGAGACAGGCTTTCTGCACTTTCATTTGCGGTTATAGGATTAGCTTTAATGAACAGTCAGAGGGTCAATTGTTTTACTATAAGCATATCATACATGTAAACAAAGCTGCTCTCCCAGTGCTGCTTGTTTTGTTTCAGAGTTGAACAGCTGTATCAAAAAGCCTTAACAGTTCATAAGTTTTATGGAAACCAAATTTCTAAGCTTTCATTGTTTTCCCCAGGGACGACAGAAAGGGCAGAGTACCACGTTATGTCCCACCCTCAGACATTTCCACGGGGCTTGGCCCCAGACTACAGAGGGGTTGCAGTGGGGACAACACTGGGCAGGAGAAGCAAAAACCTTTTCACTCCACGGGTCTTTCAGACGCTCAGCAGGCCTCTGCATAAAGCAACGGCAGTGTTTGGCCATGCTGGAGGCAGGCTGGTGGTACCCAACACAGGTGAGCCAACTGTGAGGCAATTTGATTTGATACGATCACAGAGGGGGGCATTAAAGTTGGGTTTTATACTGAGAGTCACTGTAAATAACATGAAATAAAATTTAAGATCATTTTCAAACCCTTATTAATAAGAAATCATACCTCAGTGAATGTTACTTTGATTTAAATAATTGACAAAGACAAAGCAGTGGCTGTTAGTTAAGTGTAAGGAAAAGAAGCTGATTTTTTTTACTAAAAACCATGGGGCTCGGTTACTTGTCCAAAAAAAGGGCGATTTGGGTCGACAGACAACGTTTCAGACAGACGATGCCTGCTTTTAGAAAGGACAAACATTCCTAATTATTTGGTGGTGTTTCTATATAAGCTTTAAACATCTCATATTCTTCATCCTGTCTGTCTAATTGGAGCTGTTTAAAATTCTTGTCCAAGATTCTTAAATAGATTTAGGTCTGTAGGATACGGTGGCCGGGAGGTGCAAACCAACATTACAAAGTCTAAAAACTTTTACAAGTACCAAAACAAATTATCATTTCAGGAAACAAATTTACATTAAAAATAAAATAAAATAAACAAAACACGTTTAAACATTCAAAACAAATAGCATTTTAAGAAAACAAATAAAAAAAATTTGAACTTGTAAAAGTTTTTTTTAAAATGTAAATTTGTTTTCTGAAATGATCATTTGTTTTTGAACTTGAAAAAGTTTTTAGACTTTGTAATGTTGGTTTGCACCTCCCGGCCACCGTAGTAGGAAAACAATGTCCATTCTGATACTTGAATATTCTTTGATCTAAAACACTTCACTGCAGCTTTGGGTGAATGTTCTCAGATTTTTTATCCGTAAAATTGGCCTCAGTCTTAATTCTTCAAACCATTGAACAGGTTTTGTTTCGATATTTTCCCTGTGTTTAACTCTATGAATCATCCTATCAACTCTAACCAGCCTTCCTCTCTAAGTTGAATAAAAAGCATCCCACAGCATAATTCTTCCACCACCATGTTTAACAGTGAGGAAGAGGTATCCTTTTCTTTCCACTCTAAAATATTTTTTACAATAAAATCAAAATAAAATACACTGAGATTTTCTTCTACACACTGTACCCTAATGTAGCATGAACATTAGCTTACACAATGTTGGCTCTCAGCTTTAGTGTTTCAAAGCATATAGTTAACACTTTAACACTATGAAGAGATGCGTGAACCTCTGCTGTTCCGTTCGCTTCATAACTGAAGCACTTCTCATGACCCATTTATCATTCTATCCCTTGAGGAGCCTAATCTACCAACAGATTGGTAGTAATTGTTTATGATACCATCCGCTGTTGTTAATGTTTTTATGAGATTGTGTTTAAGAAAGCGGCAGCATGTAAGTGTGTCTGTTTGTGACAAAGACAGTGCTGGCAGCATTGGTTTCACAAGACCTTTGAGACTTGTTTCTGTCACCTCTTTCTGGGCCCATCAACCCTCTAGCTGTCACCCTCAGTAAAGAGACCTGACAGCTGAGCAGGTGTGTGCCATGCTTGTGCACCATTGCCTGCTTGCTGATCAGCTCTCGCGTGCCTCTTTCTCTGCAGGTATCAGTCTGTTGGTGCCTCACGGGGGGATCGCAGAAGACACTACCTGGGAAATGTACATGAGCATCAACCAGGAGGACAGCAGGTTAGGGACTCTCACAGAGGAGGCGCCGTCTGCCTCTCAGGCTGTTCTCTTTTAATCTTTCAACCCTTCGCCATGCATATCTCATCCATCTTCCCCCTTGAAACTATCTCCGTGTCTTTTTTTGCCAAACAAGCTCCTCTCTTATGGAGCGCATAAAGTGACACACAATGTACATATTCTCGCTTACAGATGCACATGTCCCCACCCAGCATGCAGTCTTTTGTCATCTTGCAGACACCACAGGGGAGGATGTGATGTGTCACAAACACATTGGAAGCTGTAGACATATTGCATTACTGCCCTAAGCAACACTCAGTAGAAGGAAACACACTTCATAACTAGTCTGTTTTCTATTTGTAGACATAACTGTGACAATATCTCTTTCCATCTCAACTGGTAAGAGATGTAAGTGCTGTGAACTCTGCAGTGATGGCTATATCTGGTTTCTGGTCAGATGGACAGATATTGGGTATGATGTGCTTCAGAATGTAGATGCAGCAGGAAAATCAAAGGTTTTCACTAAGTTGCTAGAAAAGCAAGATATATAAAAAAGGATCTGTTTGAGAAAAATAAGCTTCACTTTATTAGGTTCACTTATTAACAGGTACAGATTTTTAACAGCTGTAAAAGTTCAAACAAATAACAACCACTCAATGTGCTTAGATTTCTAAGAGCAAGAAAGATAACTTGAACTATTGGCGCTCAAATTGAGCATCGGAAAAGCTATGAAAATTTTATTTAAGTGGCTAAGATGGCACGGCTGTTGGCTGCGGTGAAACTGGTCTGTGGATTTTAAGGACAAGCCAGTGATCTACTGGGATTTGCATCCACAGCCTTATTCTCAAGTTTGCACATGGTGGTCCAAAAATATCTGGTGATTTGAGGTTTTATGGAAAGGAAAAGTCTTGTTGATTTCAGAGGTCAGATGAGAATGGACAGATAGGCTGGAGATGATGGGTGTAAATAGCAGCTCAAATAAATCTATAGTCACAATCAAGGCCTGAAGGGTACCATCTGAGAAAGCACATCTTGTCAAAAGCTCAAGCAGATTAGCTGCAGCAGCAGAACAACTCAACTCAACTCACTGGTTGCCACTTCTGTGAGCTAAGAACAGGCAGAAACAACAATCAGGCTCTGTAAATCAGGACCATGACAGATTGGAAGAAATGTTGCTTGGTTTCATCGGTTTTGTTTCAGCTATGATATTTAGATTGTGAGATCAAAATTTGGTGCAAAAAATAACGAAGGACAGAAGGGATTCAATTTGCCTTAGACTCACACAACCTTTATTTTAACCTTCATTTTAATAAAGTGCAGCAGTGATCAGAATGTAAACAGTGTGGTTGAAAAGGAAACCAGTTTAAAGTCATGGTTCATTGATATGGAAAGGTTCAGTGCAGTCCAAAATAAATAAATATGGTGCAAAATGCAGTAGAATATTGAGTTGTGTTCAATGTACATTGCCATGTATCAATGATATGATTCTGGCTGTTGTTTCTGTTATGGAGGACTGTATGCTGTACGATAATTCTCCATGTTTTACAAATATGAATTCCTTTCAAACTGTCTTTTTGAATATAAAAAAAAAATAACGGCCACCACAGCCATTAAATCTCACTCCAGTAGAGCACATTTAGGATGAATATATGAAATGGTAATTCACATCCTGGATTTTTGAGTTCAGAACCACGAACAATGTTTTACTATAATTTTAAAAGAAAATCTAAAAAATTTTAATTTTACGCAAACATTTTAAGCCTCGGATGAAATATCTGTGCCTTGCACGCAGTTTCCCTAGATGCTAAATCTGTCTTATGACATTTTTCTGATTTGAAGCAGGATGTCAGTAGTATATGTCTGCGTGAACTGTTCCTCCTGAGATGTTATCGCACCAACATGAGTGGCTGCTTGTGCTTCTGAATGTGATTCCATTTCCAAAGCAAAATCAAACAGCGGCAAGAAGAAAAGTGACACTCACGCCATCTGAAATTCAGCCTTCATCTCTCTGCAGTTGCACACACCCATTAGGTCCCTGAGGTCACTGGGGAAAGGAAACACATCCAAGGTCATATAGAGGCTGTGGCTCACAGCACAGTTAGTGGGCTGGTTGTACACTTCTATGCCTTAAGTCTCTCCCGTTCAGCCAAACTGTTGCCCTCCAAGCTGCTGCTTTGCTCTGATAAGCCTGATGCTGTTTACTTCTCTAGCTGTCGTTTAAGTAGCTGCAGGATCCGTGCACCGCTGAGCTGTCAGTCAAAGCCTATCTTCTGACAGCCGCATAGTCCAGGGGAGAAATTGGATCCTTTCTTCCTATTCAAACCTCGGTCATCTACATAAGATGTTGTTTTCCTTTTCAAAGCATTGGAATCGATCAGCCCTGGCTCAGTTTCAGGTGCTCAAAGAAGCTTTCGCATGTCCTCCAGGCATCAAGAAGTTGAATTTTTTGTTCTCACTGTGTGAACTTTTCGAGCTCAGCAGGGGGACATCAGGTTGCTCAAGGACAAAATCATGGTGTGTGGCAAAATACACCTAATATGATACAGCTCACCTGAGTTGCAGTGAATAAGCTGAGGGGTGCCTTTCTTTTTTACACACAGAGATAGTCTATTATATCGAAACTTTGTATAAAACCAGCCTAAGATTGGTTCCTTCAAAATCTTTGATTTGAATTCCCTTTAACTGAATTTTACCAAGTTTTCTTAGTAAAACTTTATTTTTTTCCAGAGTCAAACCTTAAATTACACTTTAGGATTTTCTTTTGGCTTCCTGACGCAATTTTTTTTCACATCACATGAATAAAGGTAAATATTTAATAAGGCCCTAAGCAATCTGTTTGTTCTCACTTTACTCAAAGAGAAACATCTATCTGATTAAAATCTCCTGCCTTGATACAATCAACAGTTTATCTGCAGATTTGTCTCTTTGGGACTGTGGAGCTTTTGGCTGAAATCTCCTTCCTCCCGCTAATGAGAGCAGCTCTGATTGAGCAGAGGTAGCAGGTGATTGAAAACAGCAAAGCAGTAAAAATTATTAATTAAAAGGGGATTTAAAAATAACTATCAGATGTCAGATAGGGATTTGTCTGTATGGCCATGACTAAATCTTTGATTGCATGCATTATCATAAGACCCATTGCATATTGAAATATATTGATTTCTAGAAATTTAATTCTTCTTTCACCTTGAAAGGTTCCCTGGCATGGACCAGGTCATTTGTTTGTTAAATGCAGAGTGCATCATTAACGGTTGTTAAGAGGGGATAATTTGATTAAAATGTTACCAATGTGTTTTAAAAATAGGAAAAAGAGCATTTATTCAGTTAGGATTGCCGGAGGTATTATAATTTTAGGAATATAAAGCCTATAATTCAGCATAACTGCATCTGGTCACAACAATACTTTTATTTTAGCAATCACTAAATAACATAAATCAAGTCAATTTTTTTGGAACCATAGATTTTATTTTATTTATCTGAGTTTTTTTGTATAAGATCTGCAAAAAGTAGTGGGACTTAAAGTATTCTTTAATGGAAAGAAGATATTTTCGATTTATTTCTTTTCTGTTTCTAAAAAAAAACTCAACAATGAAATTTTTATTAAGAAAAAAATTCTTTATTGCAGCACCAACCCCCAGTCTGTCGGGGTATGTCTCGAAAAAATAAATATGAAGAAGAGCTGCTCAGTTCTCTTTGTAAAGTAATTATAGCTCATCCAGACTGAATGGAGAGATAATATTTTTTTTTTTTAACCACAAGCTTTAGATGTAGATTTTGACTAGGTCATTGTAACAAAGGAGTTTTATCTTACCTAAACTAATCTGTCTCTCTAGATACCCGTTAGGGTCATAGACCTGCTGTAATGTAAAACCTTTAAGCTAGTCTAAATTTTTTATTTATTTATTTATTTTTTGCTGCCTCTAAAGGCTGGTTCACATGGCAGAAATTAAAGAAGTTTGGGCCATTTCATAATAATAATTTAACTTTATTGATCTCACATTGGAGAAATTTACCTCTGCATTTAACCCATCCCCTTGGAGAGCAGTGGGACGCCATTGTTAAGCGCCCAGGGAGCAAGGGCCTTGCTCAGGAACCCAGAGTGGAGTCACTGGGATTTGAACCAGGTACTTCCAACCTTCTCAAAGCACAAGCACACGGCTCTAACCCACTAGGCCAACACTCCATCCCTTTTTAAATGTAAGACACCCCACACACAATCTTGAGCATTGACCATTTTTGGCTGTTTGGAGTTCTCTCTCCAGTGTTCTACAGGTACAGGCACAGGTATACAATTAGATAAAAAGTGTTGGGGTAGCACATAAAGAGTAAATGAAAATTGTTATTCATCAAATTTACATCCGAATGAGCAAATAGATTCAAGTGTAATCATTGCTATTTTTTAGGTCATGCAAGGAGTCATTTCAAACTGAAATTACAACACCAAAGGAAGAAGCTAGATGTCTTACTATGCACTGGTAGCGTGTGATGTGCTTACTATCCTGGTGTTGTACAATATTCTGTGACCTTCATGTATTTTACAATAGAATTTCAAATTAGATTTTAATCTTGTGACGTCAGGTTTGAAATCCCGTGAAGTTAGGGTTTGTAGATAGCATACCGGTAAGGAGAATTTGCAACAGCTCATCCTTGAGTCACAATATATGATGGGTCATAGCATATAGTGTAACATCAAGGTCAGCTAGTGACAGAAACTTTTCATGTGGAGGGATTGGGATTAAGCAAGCAAATTAACAGGGACTGTGAAAATATATTATTTTCTGTAGAGTTTAAGAGCAAGGTCATAATAAAGTGGGTAAAAACTATTGTAAGGATTATTCTTGTTCTTGATGTATGTCTCTGTGAAACTCTAAGATTACCTGCTTGTTGCGTGTCAGAAATGATGTTTTCCCAAGTAGCTTATCCAATTGGGTCGGTCATCTTTATTCTGCATGTGGCAAAGATTTGGGAATGGAGTGAAGAGCAGTGTCCTTGATCTAAGAACAAAG